AAAATGAAATTATATATTGCCCCAGCGTCATTAACAGTGGACGCACCTTTCCCCGTGAATCGAATCCAATGACGTCCAAACACACTGAGCTAGTTTTTCCACTACGGACCTCATGTGGAAACCTGTAAAAGTAGTGTTTTGAACAAGATACTGAACAAAGCTAATTTCACTGCTCCCAAATGCCCCTTTCACAAACCTGAAAAGGTTAAGCCTGGTCTTCCCATTGCCATCATCGAGGCAACCTTGAGTCATCACACCGCAGAATGTAGATTTTCCAACGTCCGCGCCACCAAGTACGGCTAACCTAAAGCGAAAATAGATGATCTGGCACACTCACAAATTGATGAGCAGCAATTCAGTTTTTTCTGCTTTTTTCACCACTGGTGAACCATTTAGCAACCGCTTCACACTAAACCCTTCCTCAATTTTTCGTAATAGCTGCCTTTAAGTGGCAACAACCACCCACAATTGAATAAAAAACCAGCTTCAACCTGTGATACAATATTCGGCACACCCTATTGAACAATACAGTCTTCACAACTAAGCTAAGCCTTAAAGTAGCAACAACCACCCACAATTGAATAAAAAACCAGCTTCAACCTGTGATACAATATTCGGCACACCCTATTGAACAATACAGTCTTCACAACCAAGCTAATGAAAAAGCAATAAGAATCAATTCCGGAATTTGAGCGAGCTCTAGGAATTCTTGCATGAAGCAGAATCTGTGTATTTTGAGGGCCCTCGATACGAAACCAAACTTACTCTTCAAGTAGTTAGAAAAGCATTTCTACTCAAAAAAAACTGGAATGAGTTTACTATCCCCTTACCCATATTAATATCTAACGAACCTGCGCGTAAACTTAACTGTTTTAATGTCTGAACGGCATAATTCCCGTTATTCCCAAAGCGTGAGCAATCTCATAACTCTACCTCAACTCGATGAACTGCTGACTCTCGGGAACCTTGCGTACGAGAACTTCGACCACTCGGCGACGTGAACAGCTGCCTCGAGGAGTCACATCCTTCTCTGTTAGCTGGAAAAGAGGTTCTCTTTCAAATTTGGCAGACTCTTGCACTTTGAGATAGTAAAAGCGTAAAAGCGACAAACTTACTATGACCATGCTAGCATCAAGAGCATTCGCCATGGCTTTCAAAGTGATCAGCGATGCTTCCATTTCTACGTCTGACAACCCACTCATTTTGCCACCATCCTCAACACCGACCTAAACAGACATCCGCTACCGATTCACAATAAACCATACCAGAAAACCGCCATCATTAAAGACTGCACCATCCTCAACACCGACCTAAACAGACATCCGCTACCGATTCACAATAAACCACACCTGAAAACCGCTGACTGTATTAACATGAAAAGCCACACCTCATAAATTGCCTCGCCTTGACCTTCTCTGAGCCGCCACTTCATTTGCGTGATCAAATGTTGTAGACGTGACGACGACGGGTTCACAAGTTTCACCTATCAAAAAAGAAAGACAATTAAAACAAAGACATCCAAGGATATAGAAACAAAAGAAATCACTTTATATTCTATGTTGCCAAGTTCCATTTCAGGAGGTAAGCAATTCTCAGCCTCCGAGATCCGTTTGTCAGTATGCAGCAAGCGCAAAATTTATCAGTAGACTTCCTGCAACGAAAACAATAGTCAGGAGAGCAGAAACAGGATCACAGAGGGATCACAAGCTTGCATCTCAAAGCTAACACAACTATTGATTCACAAATTTTAGACATATCTTGTTACCTTGGACTTTATGTTTCATCGTTCGCAGCGCGCGTCCTGTTGTAAGCGTAAATAATGAGCGCACAGTTTCGATGGTGTCTTGAACCCGCAGTTTTTTGAGAAGTCACATTGTATGATATTACCGAAGATCCCTGTAGCCCAGCTTTTCAACCTAATACTTTCCAGAGCTGGTTGGTCTACTGGTCGATATTGGTTCACATTTTCCACGACACACGAGGTTTATACTAGCAAAAGCTCAGAATAAGAATTTACTAGGCAAACTTGACTCTTCTCACACATAGCTTTCGCACTTTATCAGAGGAAATGCATGTAACTGCTGCCACATCATAGATCGCACAACTTGTCGACTCAATTAAGAGAACGCTGAGAATGCCGTCTCTACTACATTGGTGTCGAACGAGTAGCGCGAAAGCGTGCAACTGAAGATTCCAAAGTTCTACATTAGTCACTGCATTGAGCTTTCTTGAGGACCATTCGAAAGAGTTTTGTTAGAGATTGCAAACATCGAATGTAAAATCTTCTTATGCCACAACCATCAACCAAATACATGGAATCGGTTTCAACTTCGAATGTTTTTCTCCCTCGGCTTTTAAAACACTGAGTGCTACCACTGATTAGTACCCATTTCAGCATCCTAATGACAAACTCCACGGGCTTCTAAAAAGCGAAGTCGACCAAAGATTTCCCTTGGACACTTAAGTTGCTGTTCAGCATGGTTCAACAGCTGACATCGCGCAATGTTGACACGAAAACTACGTCAAACACTTGACACAGACCTCATACACGCTCCTGGTCTGAAAAATGGCATGATGGTTTCAACCGTGACGAGCCAGCGCCACGAGCTAACAAGCGCATTCGAAAATATCTCCAAGAAAATGAGCTGAGGCTCCAACAGCTGGCAGACATGGCATTGAGTTTTTGTACCTTCATGATTGAAACATGTTAAAATCACCAAGCGTTTCGGCTCCCCCACTTTCTTCACGATTTGGGGCGCGGCCGCGGCGAGCGCGGCCGAGTCGATAGTGCCCGCGAACTGTGTGGGTAAATTTGAAAACGCATCACCACCACAGTTCGCGGGCACTATCGACTCGTCCGCGCTCGCCGCGGCCGCGCCCCAAATCGTGAAGAAAGTGGGGGAGCCGCCGTAAGAAAACACGTATTGTGTGCTAACGCGAAGATTGGGTGGGAACACCCTGCAATGGCAAAACTAGCGGTTTTTTTCAAATGGATGAAAAATGGAATAGGTTGAACGGCAAATGATTCAAGAATGTCTAGCACACGGGACATGTCTTTTTTCGGCAGGGATACACGAAGGAACCAGATGTTCTTCATTCTAATCACGGTCAATTTATTTGAAGACCTTATCGCTCATATCTTTAGCGGGATCTGAAATGAGTGAGTCACTTACACTACTTAGGACTAAAAAGCTTGAGGAGGGATGAGAGGGAAGGAATTCTTTAGGGGAGTACGTGAACAACGCTCATTCTTTCTGAGAATTTAGAATGAGTAAAAAGCAACTTCCATTCATTACGAACACTTTTCGCAGGCCTCACCGCTTTATGCCGGTGTTAACGAGCCATAGCATGGGATGCGCGTTCATAGTTCGCGACTTCGGAGATTAGGATAATACGCGACAATGAGTAATATGTTCTGAAGGGGAGAATAGGATAGTAGTAGATTAGGAGTAGGATAGGCGCTGGCAAGATTAGATAAGTATTCATCGACTCGATTGGAGACACCTAATCTACTATACCTAACGATCCCAATCGATACGTATCTGCTAATGTCAGCGCAGTACCCCACTTTGCCAGTACGCCTAAGATTCCGTGTCGCTACTATCCTGATCTTCCGGCAGTCTATGCGAAACATAGGGGGATCGCGGCCTCTTCATAAACAGTTATGCCAGACGGAACTATTCTCGTGAAGTCACGCGATCGTGCATTAAAAGACGAGATGAGGAAACGAAGGATGAAATCAAGAAGTATGAAGGTGAGCTAAACGAACCTGTTATTAGTATTGAAAACATGGTGCGCTTGCTCCTCGCAAAACTGTGATATCATAAAATCCATGTAGAAGGTAATTCCAGACTAATTTTGAGCGATTATGCTTTGTACAAGATAATGTTAGGAGAAATGCGTCAGTCACGTAACCGATTGATCATTCGTGATGAGCTCTGAAATTTTCGCAACTAACAAAATATTCATAAATTGAAAACGACACGGGTCTATTCCAGTTAAGGGGGGCATCATGATGCAGTTTTTCCAGAAAGCTAAGGCAACTCCGAGCCAGGGGGAGTGTAGCCAGTCTAGGGGGGGGTGGGGGTGAGGGGCAGTCACTTGACATGCGTGAAAAGCTGGAATGTTCAAGTTCACACTAGTTCGTTCGCCGAGAAGCTGTCATTGATTAGGCCCCGCCTGACTGGCAATAGACTGCCGCGCCCCCCACGGACACAAAAATGTGTTCGAGCGCGCGGTGAAGACGATTGTGGGTCCGATTAGAGGAGGACAAAATGATGATTTGGGATAGTCAACGCAATCATGAGCTAGTGAAAGGATAATGTAATGTATGTCAAGTAGAGGCCTATACAGATCTCTGACACATATCGTATATATCACAGCGATTAACAAAATTCAGCAAAGCAATCAAACTAATTGCCCCCCAAAGCTGTTGCCAGCGAGAGATAATTGACACACGCGACGCAGCCGCACCGTTTGGATTGGGCCATACGGAAGCCGTAGTCCATCTTCTGCACACCTTCAGTTACAGACCATGGTCACTCGTCCATCGCCCACTATTCGAAATGTGAATTATTGTAAAAAGCGTATCCACCGCGATACAATGAGAACCTTGATAGAATTGACTAAAGAACAGTATCAGGGTACACGGTACGAAGGTTCTCACGAGGGGGTCGCGTTTACGGTTATGGGAGGGCGAGGGGTCACATTTGAGATTAGGGAAGTTAACCACCTCTGAAGAAAGAAGCGCTGTGGATGGGGAGTTTGTGTTGGTGGAAGTTCTGGAAGTTCGGGGAGGGGGTGTAGTGGAACGGGAGAGGCGGGTTATTTTTGACCTGTTTGAGAATACAATTTCCACGAAAGATTTTCATGAAAGGAAGCGTGGTAAATAAAAAAGGGAAAATTTCCTGCTTTCTTGGTAGATATTTGTACCTCCAGCACTGATGGATAACAGCGCATGAGTTACAGGGGTTGGGCGTGTTCGAAGCAGAGAGAAAGTCTCCGGAAACTTCCGTAGGAGCTGATGGGATTGCATGGTGGGATGGTCGCATTGATGAGACCCACCAAAAAGAGGGTGTCGCAAAATTTCTTGAGAGGTGCGAACGCGATGGTTGAACCTGCTGCTGATCCCTACCCATACAAAAACGCTTTTAGAGGCTTCAGTTAGGGGAATATTCCGCTTTCCGCCCTGCAATCAGCTGAATATTCAGCTACCTCCTAGGAAAATGACTGCTTTAGTAGGTGGCTGTCTTTTACTGTGAAATGTTGTCGAAAAGATCGAGGTACTGATAGCAGCGGACGGTCTTCAAACCATGTGCTATAATTTCGTTAGTACATAATACGATGGAATTCATGGACTGGTTCTGAGACAAAAGAAAAGGTAAGTACGTGTTCTCTCATGTTAAGGGGCCTGGCAGACAGCAGAAGCTAGTCATGAACTAGGCAAATACAGGAATCGGCATGCTTCACAGAACAGCAACAATGTGTATTGCATTTAGGCCGTCCAACACTTCAATTGTCGAGAGCCTCTTTTATGCAATTCGTAATCAGCTTCTGTTTATTATATATTTATTAAAAAACAATATTGACCGCACTCGCTTCAAGTGCAAGAATCTCTGATACATATTAATTACTATGTTTTCCATTATGGGATTTATTACGTCCTGAATACTAGAAGGGCGGCGAGATCGGAATAGTTTTGTTTTGATTTGGGGTGGTGAGGTTGGATCACTGACGTGGAAAACTAGTAAACTGACCAGACACCCACCCCCATTGGGCGGAGCCTGCGCCGAAATAGGTGGTGCCAGAGGCAATACTTTCTAGGTGGGTTCCAGAACTTCTCAGAGGAATGGAAAATGTGGTTCAAGGTGAGGAGTAGACTGATGGAGATTGTAATATTGACCACAACGCAGTTGCTATGGCTCTCAATCGGTGTCGTTTACTGAAAACACTCACATCTCGGTTCTAAAACAGCATCAGAACAGAACAAAAAAAAAACGCTAGGGATGAAGAACGTCTACGATGCTGAGCGTGCTCGAGGTGAGGTGTTCCCACCCAAAATGGGTGGAATGCGCCTCCCACCGAGTGCCAAGTGGGGTGTCGCTCACGTTAACATTAGAGATAGCAGGCGAATAAGCGAGATGCTCTTATGGTTAGTGAGCGAGACGTGCACCGAGCGAATGGGCGGGGCTGAAGCTAAAAATTCATAAAAAGGTTCTGAGATAACGCAAAAAAAGGGTGGATAGGGTAAACGAAGGGATCAACATTGCTACTTGAAAGAACGCGCACGATTCTGATTGGGTTGAAATCGTACGTTCTGCTTGTCCACACTTCATTATTAACCAAATAAACAAGTTAAGCATGACTTTGAAGCTATAAACGACGGCTTCAGGTTGTTTGTAATGCTTGTCATTACGGAAAGATCGCTTATCTGCAAACTCGCTGAGTCCGTGGACCATCAAAGATAGGCAATGATGTTCATGACCGACTGAGCTGTCAAAATGGTACTGTGATTCCGTTCCTCTAGATAGGGTGCACATATGTGACGAAAGATGTGCGCTCGCGAACGCACCT